TCCTCTTTGTGATTGTGTGTGAGCTGGCCCCTCACAATGATTTCTAGAAACCAACCAAGAGGAAGGCTTTGTTGTAAGACAGGTTGTTGGTAGGGACCAAACAAAAGAAATGTTATAGAGACTTTGGCTTTATTCCAAGGCTACTGTGGGCTTGAAACTGCAATTCTGAAAAATCATCACAATTTCCTGTGTATTCTCAAACCAGATTTTATTATGAATGTAACCCTGGTCCCATGGCTTAATTATCTAGAATTTTGTAACAACTAAGAGCAAACTATGTTTCCCTAGGAGAAAGGTCAACATCTGAGTTAGTACCTGGGAAGAATCTAAACTCACAGATCAGGCAGCCAAAGCTTTGGGAATGGATCCCAGGAAGCCACTTTGAGTTTTGAGGTGGGGAACAGAATTCTGCTAAAAAGCTATTGGATGCAACACAAATTGGCTTTCAGGATCAGACACCCATGGCAAAGACGATGAATGAGGACCTGGTGCTACTCAGAGGAGGAGGGGAAAAGCTGAGCTTCAGGGAGTGGATCTGCTGGGGGGTGGGGGGGGAGGGAATTATGCTGCAGGCAACTGAAAAGAACAGAGGGAAACTGGGTGAAGAGAGAAGGAGACTGCCAAGCCCCAGAACCCCAGAGGTCTCCAAGGTGGACAGCTGTCAGAACAAGTTTCCATAGTCTTTAGTCTTGAAAAGTATCTTTGGGGCTTAGGAAGAAAATGGACTTCAATCTCCAGAGCACCAGATAGGAGCTTGGAGTGTCCTGGGAAGAGCCCTAGAGATGTCTGATTGTGACAGGGTAGAGAAGGCTAAAGCTTAGAGCCAGAGTCAATGCTCACAATCAGGAGGAGGACCCGGATTGACACAGGGTGAAGTGTGGCCCCAGGACCAGAGCATCAATATCACCTGGGAACTTGCTTGCAACATAAATTCTTGGGCCCCACCCCAAGTGTCCTTAATCAGAAACCTTAAGGGTGGAACCCAGAAACCTGTGTTTCAGTAAACCATTCAGGTTGATTTTGATGCAGGCTAGGGGGCCCAGAAGACTCGAAGGATTGGATGAGGCGGTATATAATGGGGATTAATATTTGACTGAAGTTAGATCCCAAGTAGTAAGCAACACGATGGAGGCTATGATCTGCGCATCCCAATCTCCTTTTATCTATCTTCCAACAGATTTGGAAATGGGAGCTCCATTAAGACACAGACATAAAGTGAGACCAACATTTCAACTCACAGGGGAAACTTGTGTGAGATCGGCAGGCACATATGCTCACAAGGGGCTGATATCTTAGAATAGTAAACACAGATGTGTTTCACACTAACCTTGCATATTTACTCATCTCCTGCCATCACCCCATCACTTCCCCGGGCATTCAGTACACTTTGACTACCTCCTCTGTGCGCACAGCATAACTCTCCTCCCATAAGCATGTTATCCTTTGTCTTTTTCATCAGCACTCAAGATATAAACACACAATAAATTTTTTCTATTCACTGTTATTTCTCCTCTTTACCAAACCCACTAATGTTGCAACAGTATTATTTTCTACTTTATTTTTATTGCTTTTATTTCAACTCCAGTATAGAATCACAACTGAGCTGACCTTGGGGTTGCAACATTTTCATTTTTCTGTAGAAAAATGCATTTCCACAATACATTTACAACTGAACTTTGGAACGTGTTCATAGATGGGAGGCAGATTGATCGGCATGACTCCTCATACACAAACTGGAACAGAAAAAAAAATCTAAACAAACGGTGCTACCAAGGAGAAGAAACAAGTTCTACCACAACATTCCACATCTGCTTCCAAATGATGGATTTAGCTTCTCTGGCCTTCCCTCCACTAAAAAAATAGGGAAGAAACAAAGAAAGGAAAGAAGGAATGGTGGGAGGGGAGAGCAATAATTTAGAAATGTGTAAGTTCTTTTTCTCTCTGATACATGGATAAAGTTTTATTTTACCTACCAAAGGGAAAAATAATATTCACTAAAAGCTGCCTAACCTATATTTCCAATAGTGAAGGTGTTTAATTTACTATCTATCTTTAAAAGGCTTCAAATAAAATATAGCTAGGAAAGTACATAAAGAATTCACATTATAAAATTCTCCACGTAATTAATGTTCATAATAATGTTAGGACTATAGCTAAAAAAAGTAATTTTCCATAGTTTAGTCGGAAGTACAGATAATCAGCACCAAATGTATACGTTAGTTTGTAATAGGCAATTGTAAGCAAACAGTATCGCACTATATAACTTTTTTTTTTTTTAAGTTTACTTATTTTGAGAGAGAGCATGAGCAGGGGCAGGGTAGAACGAGAGGGAGAGAGAATCCAAAGCAGGCTCTGCGCTGACAGTGCACAGCCCAATGCGGGGCTCAATCTCACAGACCGTGAGATCATGACCTCAGCTGAAATCGGGTCAGACACCTAACCAACTAAGCACCCAGGTGCCCCTAAACTGTATAACTTTTAAAAGATATTTTTTTAATGTTTATTTATTTTTGAGAGAGAGAGAGTGTGTGTGTTTGTGTGAGTGGGGGAAGAGCAGAGAGAAAGGGAGACACAGAATCCGAAGCAGGCTCCAGGCTCTGACCTGTCAGCACAGAGCCAGATGCAGGGCTCAAACTCAGGAAATGCGAGATCATGACCCGAGCCAAAGTTGGATGCTTAACCAACTGAGTCACCCAGGGGCCCCTAAACAGTATAGCTAACTGTAAAGTCACTGTAAACTAATTAAAATAACTGTAAATTAACCAGAAGTTGTTACAAACTGTATAAAAATTGATATTATTTTCCCAGTTCTCCCAAAAGCTCTACAAAATCAGTGATGTACTATTCCGTGTTGTCTTTTACTTGTTGTCTGATCACATTTCCTCTAAATCTAATGAAAACCATCAGCAGGACAATAGGCTTCCATGTCTGTGGCTCCATCTCTAATCATGACTATTTTCTTAAAACGAAATTTTTCCTTTAAAAGTTTAGTAACTTTTCCCCCCCCCCCCCCCCGATTGGGCTGTTGGTTGCATCTCATCAAAACCTGCACATTCACCATTAAACTAGAATTTCAGCCTATTAGCAAATACAATGGCTAATGGGATATTGAGCCTTGAAGCAACATGGTCTACAATGCTCCTAAAGCTACCATATATTAAGAAAAGCTGAACATTTCACTCTTGCGGGTGACTTACTAGCTCCTTTATGCCAGGGGTCAAGTGTGGGGGGTGCTCTACAATGCTCTACAATGAGCCTTTGCACCTTTCCCTGGAGGGCTGGACCAGAGCTAAGCGCTCTGTGAGGTCAGCCTTGAAAGGCACTGCCCCACCCACGGCTCCCCAGATCATTTCTGACACAGCATCCTCACCTCCACAGAATCTGGCTAGCTCATCAATTCCTTCTTCTCTGATGACTGTGCCATCAACATCAAAGCATACTGCATCAGCTGAACAGAAAAGCTTCCTCAACTCTGAATGGGAGACCCTCCTTGGAAGAATTTTCCTCTTTCTCCAGATTCCTAGGAAATGACACTCTTCTCTTCCTGCTTCTTTCCTGAATTAAAATGCAGCATGAAGTTCTGACTACTAACTTCTTTATGAGAGATTTCATGAGTTTTGCAAGATCAAGAGCCCGCTCTCTGCTGCTCCTTCCTGGGCTGCCATCCCCATCTCCTGGGTGTCTGCAGTTGTATCCTCCTGACTGTAGGTGGGGGCTGGGGGGGTGCTGGCTCTGATGGAATTTGGAGGGGGGGTGACCTGTACAGACCCACAGAGCTTTTACTGAACAATCATATGAAACCTGCTGATAAATGCGGTGGCTTCTGGTAGGTTTTGCATGTGCTTTTTTAAACTTGAATTGCATAGGTTTTATCCCTGGGCGGAATTATCCTAATGTGCAAACCCATATCAGGCGCTCTGAAGACCCAAAAATACAGCATCTGTATAGTACTCAAAACATCAGTGGGACTCAGTAACGTTGTTCTCTGAAAAACGAATTAATCTTGCCTCTCGCAGCTAGACCTAGATAGTTTTATCCAGAGAAAGAAATGCTAAGGGTAAGGAAATTTTTACATGGCTAGAAGATGCTAATGGAGAGGGTCCATGATGAGTCTTTATAATTAGGAAGAACAGAAGGCTGATGAAGTGAGGAAATGAACTCCTTCTGCCAAATAAAAGGACAAATCTAACTGTGGAATCTGGGGAATCAAAATATCCTGAACAAGCTCTTACTCCACAGCAAATACTTGTCTCTGCACAGCACTGGCATGGTGCCATATCTGTAGACTACAGTGCCCAGGATGCTCCTCACCACTGTGTGTCCTCGCTTAGTGACAGTCTTTCTCCCTCTGTTATGCCTCAGTTAAATGTGTTCTAAGAGTCCATGTTTTTGGCTCTCAGTGTGTGGAGAAATTCTACATAGACTGTGTGGTCCAGCTACACAAGTTCTATTTGAGGACATGCACGCTGAGACACTTGCCCAAAATCTGCCATGTTCTGTGCACACCTTCCTGCAGAAATTCACATTCCACCATCAAGTCATTTTTCTGATTTAGAAAAACCAGAACATTGTTTCCGGAAGGCTGGTGTTCATACCTCACAGGGAGAGGAGCACTCTGGAGGCTTGTGCCTCTCTCACTGCAGGGATTCAATTATTATGTCAGCCCCTTGTGACCAGGAGAAACAAAGTCCAGCCTTAGGGGCTGTGGCAAAGGCAGGTACACTTGAAATGAGAAGGAGATGGGATGAAAAGGGAGGGAAGACAATCTGTGAGCCTGGCAGTCTGGTGGAAAAACAGCCATGGGATGAGCCATAATGAAGCAAATCCTTTGGGGAGATCATGGCAGCCTCTTCACGGATAGAGGCCCTGGCAAGGGCTCTGACTCTGAAATCTCCCCATCTGCACCCCTATTCCTTTCCTTTCCTCTGGACTTGCCTTTCTTTCTCTCGTTCACTCGTTCACTCTTGCTCTCTCCAGATTTGCAACTCAAGAAAAGTAAATCTATTTCTCTCTAGATGTAATTTATTCCTCCATAATATCAAAGTGATGGACTAACTTCTGGTTTCTCTTCTATGACAAAGTCATCACTGTTAAAGATTCCCAGGTTGGGGAATCTTCCCTGAAAGTCCCAGCTAAACAAGTAATAGGGTGAGGAGACAGAAGGCTCTTCAGATGAGTCAGGGATGACCTGAAAAAGAAACAGGTTTCAGATCAGTCCCCTAACCCAGGACTAGCAAAAATAACATGGTTGTCAACTCTTGCCACCAATAATAGTAATTGTTCCCAACAGGTACCGAGAGCCTTGTTAGCTTCATGCCTACTTCTTGGAAAAGCTTAAGCACCAGATCTTATGAATCCAAACCCTATGTTCATTTTCTTTGCTTTTAAAAAATTTCAAAATACTTCCACACACATTGCCTTCCAAAAACATCATATATACATCTATACACACCCTGAAGTGATATTAGAGTGATGGCTGCAACAGATTGACCCCAAATATACAATGACTTAAAGGGAAGGAACAATTTGTGGTTTTTGGTTTTGGTTTTTTGTTTTTTGTTTTATATGTTACAGAACTGGCAAAGGAGTTCTATTCCACTTCATCATTCAACACAGTGGGGAAGAAGAAGGCTTGGAAAAAAACACACCTACAGTCTTAAATCCCAGTTCAGGGAGTGGTACATTTCACTTCCACAAGTATTCTCTTGCCTCATTTAACTGCAAAGTAGACTGGGAGGTGTAAACTAACTAGGCAGGCATCTCCCCAGTTTTAAGAGGGAATAGATTTTCATACATAGATAGACAGGTTGATTTAGGTTCAGGTTCAGGTTCAGATTTAAATTTAAATTTGGTAGGTTTTATTATTTTCTCAACTTTAAAAAGATGAGGCTTAGGGGCTCCTGGGTGGCTCAGTCAGTTAAATGCCCTGCTTCAGCTCAGGTCCTGATTCACGGTTTGTGGGTTCAAGCCCCACATCAGGCTCTGTGAGGACAGCTCAGTATCTGGAACCTGCTTTGGATTCTGTGTCTCCCTCTCTCTCTGTCCCTCCCTAACTAGCTCTCTGTGTCTCTCTCTCTCAAAATTAAATAAACAGTAAAAAAAAATTTTAAAAACAATAAATAAATATTAAATTTTTTTTTAAAAGATGAGGCTTAGGCTCAGAAAAGAGAACACAGCTTCCCTAAAAGTGGTACACCTAGTACAAGGAAAACATAATGAATCCAGCCTAGATCTTCTGGGTTTAGGAGGGCTTTGAATGCCATGTACCACCAAGGAAGGTGTTTGAGGAAGAAGTTAGGCAATGCAATGTTATTTTAAGAATAATTTATCAGCAATGCGAAGGGTGGAACTTCAGAAAGAAGAAATGAAGACACAGGACTACGGAAACAATACAAGCCAAATTCAACAACTGCCTAATCTAAAACAGCGGTGATTAAAAGAAGATGAAAGATTATTAGAGCAGAGGTTCAGAATTTAGAGCCTGTGGAAAGGCCTCCATATTGTCAGACTCTACTTCCCTGGCATTTCACTGAGGCCTCTCCAGTTCTCCTCCTACTTCTCAGGCCCATCCTTCTCAGTCTTGGCTGCTCCTCCACCCACACCCAATCCCTAAACATTCTCAACTCAGCTTACTCCCTGCCCCCGTCTCCCAACCGCCCCCCCCCCCAGGCAGTTTCACCTAGTTCCTCAGCTTTAAATTCCATCTAATTAGTTATCTCTTACATAGTAAATCTACATAACAAACCACCCAAAACATAGTGGCTTTATTGTTTAATTTATTTAAAAAAATTTTTTTTAAGTTTTTATTTATTTAAATTAAGTTGGTTAGTATATACTGTCATATTAGTTTCAGGGGAACTTAGTGATTCATCAATTACATACAGCACCCAGTGCTCATCACAAGTGCCGTCCTTAATATCCATCACCCATTTAACACATCCCCGTCCTCCCTCCATCTTCCCTTCAGCAACCCTGTTTGCTCTCTACAGTTAAGACTCTGTTTTATGGTTTTCCTTCTCTCTTTTTTTCCCCATGTTCATCTCTTTTGTTTCTTAAATTCCACATATGAGTGAAAGCATATGAAGTCTTTACCCATTCATCAGTTGATGGACATTCGGGCTCTTTCCATAATTTGGCTATTGTAATGCTCTACAGACATTAGAGTGCAAGTGCCCTTGAATCAGTATTTTTGTATCTTTCGGGTAAATACCTAGTAGTGCAATTGCTGGATCGTAGGGTAGTTCTATTTTTAACTTTTTGAGGAAGCTCCATACTGTCTTCCACAGTGGCTACACCAGTCTGCATTCCTACCAACAGTATAAAAGGGCACCCCTACGCAGTGGCTTTAAGCAATCGACATTCACTGAGCTCATGACTCTGCAGGTTGGCCTGGTGGTCTTGCCATCTTTGATTGGACTTACACACCAATCTGGGTGTCAGCCGGCTACAGACTGACCTAGGATGGCCTCTGCTGGGATGACCCAGGCACCTTGTCTAATAGACATGTTTTTTATCTTTCAACTGGCTACTCCCGGCATGTTCCCATGATCATAAAAGAGGGTTAGAGCAAGCCAGGCCAATCACACAAGTGCCTTTAAAGCCTCTGCTTCCATCATGTTTGTTAACATCCCATTAGCCATTAATGAGAGCATGTGACAAAGGACACTGATACAGGGAGAGATGAAGAATTGCAGCCATTTCTGGAGTCCTCCACATATCTATACACAAAGCCTCCTCAACTTATTTATCTTCGTCCTGACCTCTTTTCTGAGCTCTAGACATGTATGTCAAATGGCCTAATGGACACGCACTTGGGTATCTCCAGGCATTTCAAACGGCATATTTAAAATTGAACTTTTGATCCTCTGTCAAAACCTGCTCCTCTTTCCACCATTCATTCTGCTTCTTAGTATATGATGTTGCCATCCACCCAGTGCTCAGTCCACACACCTTTTCTCCTTCACCTCAAATACAATCCATGAAATCCTATCATTTCTACTTCTAAAATACATCTAGTATCTGTCGTCTTCTCTCCTCCCTTGTCATCCCTTTAGTGCACGTTGTTTCCACCTCTTTCCTGAACATGTAAAAAGATCCCAATGAACTTTAAAATCTCAAAACTCCATCTGCTGCCCCATCCTGTAGCCACTCTGTCCTCACTAAGATCACTGGCTTTTATTCATTATCCAGACACAGTAAGCACTTTTTAACCTCAAGGCCTTAGCCATTTTATCATTTTCCCAGGACTGCCATAACAAAACACCACAAACTGTGTGGCTTGAAACAACTGAAATTTACTCATTCACAGTTCTCGAGGCAGAGGTCCAAAATCGAAGGAATGACACAGACATGCTCTCTCTGGAAGCTTTAGAGGAAGCTCCTTCCTCGCCTCTTCTAGCCTGTGGCAGTGCCAGGAATCCTCAGTGTTTCTGAGCTTATAAATGCATAGTCTAATGTGTGCCACTGTTAGGCAGGAAGGTAGGCATGAGTGACAAGAGGATGGACCTTACTCGTCCTGATGGAGATCCCAACCAACGACCGCCCAGGAACCACCCCTTTCCACCCATCCAGCAGCTAGTTTGTGATTACAGCATCCCAGCAGAAGACTTAAATCTGTTGTGCTTGTTACAGTTGTGCAGAAAGCAGTTAGTTTTCCTCACCTTCCCTATGCCTCTAGAATGGAAATAATGTTGCAGTTTCCTACCACCCAGGCAGGCATTTCCAAGGCATCATGGGAAAGAATGTGTGTAGTTGGCTAATTATTATATAATCCAGGCCTCTCACTCAAATGTTGTGACCCTAGGACCCACCGAAAATAAAAAAATGGATATGAGACCACACGTCCTGGTTTCCCTCTGGGTTTCCCAGGCCATTGTCCCTTGACTGGCCAGCCAGCTCCTCCCTTGGAATGTACTTTAATAAAACTTTGCTCTGCTTTACTTTAGTTTTGCTGTCCTGGATGTAATTCTTTACTGTGACACCAAAAAGAACTGAGGCTTCTTTCTTTTTCCATTTAACTCTCAGTAACACTTCCATCTTCTCTCCTGTATCTCTTTCTCCTAAAAGGACACTAGTTATAGGATAGGGCCTACCCCCATCCAGAATGACCTCTTTTAAACTTGATTACATTTGCAAAGACCCTATTTCCAAGTAAGATCATATTCACAAGTACTGGGGGTTAGGACTTGACAATTTTTCTCGGAGGACACCATCCAATTCATAACTACCATGCTGTTCCCAACAGAAATACTGAGTGATGAGAACATGGACTTTGGACTATGGACTGCTTCAATTTAAAAATTTTTTTTTTAATTTTATTTATTTATTTGGAGAGAGACTGAGAGTGTGTGTGTTCACACATGCACGTGAGTAACGGAGGGGCAGAGAGAGAGCGAAAGAGAGATAATCCCAAGCAGGCTCCACACTCTCAGTGCAGAACCCGATGCGGGGCTCAAACCCACACACTGTGAGATCATGACCTGAGCCTAAGTCAAGAGTCAGACACTTAACCGATCAAGCCACCCAGGTGTCTCAAGGACTGCTTCAATTTGAACACCAATTCTGTTCTTATTAGCTGTGTGATCCTAGGCAAGCTACATAAACCCTCTGAGCTTCAGTTTTCATACCTGTAAAGTGAGGATGGTTGTATAGCATCCACATCACTGAGATAATCTGAGAATTTAATGAGTTAATGAGTACAGTGCCCAGAATATAGTAAGCACTACATGTGTGTTTATTAGATAAAATAAATTCTTTACTGTGCATACTCCGATCTTAGCTGAGATGTACTTTCTCAGACAGGCATTTCCTAATTTCCCCTCACTTCATACATAAGCCACACTTTTTTATTCGCAGGTGTGGGATTTTTGTTGCTGTTTGATGTCTGCTTTTTCCAATTGAACTCTGAGTTCCATGAGAGCAGGTTGTGTCTATTTTGTTCACCACTCTATTCCTAGCATGAACAGAATGTTTTGCATATGATGAATATTAGATAAATATTTACAAATGAGTAATTATGAAGGGTTAGAGATGGCAATTTCATTATCATGAGTTTGCAGGTGCTTTATTCTCTATCTCTTCCCCTCTCCCCTTCTCTAGGAATCTTGTAAGAATAAGTTTTAAATTCATAACATCCAGATTATGTTTGGCCTCTTTCTTTCTGCAGCTTCACAGAAGAATGGAGATGTCTTACCCAATTGTTTTCTATGAAAATCTACGCCTCAAAAGAGAGAAAACCAAGAAGAGCAACATGGACCCAGGTGGCAGGAGGGCAAAGGGACAGCGCAGCAGTTACAATTACAGTGTATGGGGTCACTAGGTGGCAATTCAATTAAAAAAACAGATACCTGAACCACGTATGAATTCATACGCATTAGTAGGAACTTGTTGTTTATAACAGCCATGGGAAAGGGGAGTTTGGGGGGAGGGACACAAGCATAGCTTGTGCCAAAGAAGCTGCTGGCTCTTCTTACTTCATTGTGTAAGTAGAAGTCTGGCTCTGCCAACAGGTAGGTAGATGAAACCCAGCTTATGCCATTTCTATCTACAGAAGAACAAAAACAACCTTCATACTTCATCCTCCCAGTAACAAAAGGAATCTGAAAACTCACCCAGACCTCATTACTCGGTCTCCAAATTGGGGTGCTCCCTTTGCAACCTGGATCCTAATGCACCTTTAAACATACGTGTTGCCAATACAAATCAAAAGACTAGCATTTTTGATGTTATGTGATAGGTATTTTAGATATATTAACTCATTTAATCTCCGTACAACCCTATTATGTGGGTAGCATTATCCAAGCGGACAGGAAATAGGTGAAAGAACCAGGGTATAATTATTCTAAGGTTCATAGTCATTTCACCAGAAGGGCATTACTTGCAGTCTGACACCTTTGAAGTCATTAGTAAAACCTAGTCCAGCAGTTTCTTAAAGCGAAGTCCGCTGGCCCCTCCGTCAGAATCATTGGTGGTCTTTGTTGAAAATTCAGATTCCCTGGCTCTGCCCAACACTGAAGGAATCAAGTAGAGGGTTGTCCGGAAACTGAACTTTTAAAAAGCACCTCCAAGTGGCTCTGTTGGAGGGCACTATGGACGCAGATGATTCTTATGCATTAGGACCACACGCACAGACTTCGGGCATTATCGAAAGATGGCAACATACCGCCCTGGGTGACTTCAGCCCGGCTCAGCATCCTCTAACCAAATCCGGTCCCTGAACCGCCTCAGGTTGCAGCCGCACAACAAAACTAAGCAAGCGCAGTACTTACTTCCCAAGCTGGGCGGGGCTCTCTAAGACCCCGCCCCCTCGGTACGGGCCGGAATCAGGGTCCGGACTCTCCCTAAGTAACCTAATTCCGGCTTCTCCCCGCAGCGGCCCAGAGCTCCGCCCCCGGCTCTTCGACCAATCATATGGCAGGTTGCTGAAGCTCCGGGCCAATGCACAGGGCCGTCCTTTATTCTTCTGTGCAGTTTGAAACTGTCAGGCTGCTGCCAAGGTAGCGGCGGTACCACTGTTATTTTAGCGGCGACGCGGCGAGGAGACGCGGAGGGAGGCGTCCGGGTTTGTGAAGAGTCGCAACGGTGAGTAGCGGCGCCCCGGCGAGTTCCGCGCCCCGGGCGGAGGCAGTGGAGTGGGGTTTAAAGTGTCTTAGCTCGAGTTTCCGCCCCGGGGGCTCCTATACCACGCCCCGAGGCGTGGGCTGTGTGCTGTTCTGCGGGGCAACGAGGTACTGAAGTTTTCCTTCCAAGGCGTCCGGGAAGAGAGGGCAGGAGTGGGGGGTACTTGAAGTATAACGATTACTGTCGCCGTGGGTTCTGATCATTTAAAACGACAAAGTAACCATGTCTAACGTGTTTTTCTTTTGTTGTTGTTTGTTTTTAAGAGTTCGATTCAAACAAGGGTGATAAGAAGGTGAGTGAAGAGAACCTCTACCCTTTGCTTACTCACAACTGCTGTCGCCCTAGGCTGCTAGTCCCTTATGAGGGGAGGAGCTGGCGCGCCCCTTCTCCTTTCCTGCAGCTAAGATGGGTGAAGAGCACAGGGACGTCACCCAGCTGCCAGCTCGCACATTAATTCCCTCTTCCTCTGTCTCTTGGGGTTGCATTTGAATTCCTGGACCCCTTTTTCCTTATCAGCCAGGTATTTACCAAGAGGTAATTTGATTTCTTTGGCTGTCAAGAAGCACCCAGAACTTTTCTCTTGGTTTCTGGTATCTTGGGTTAGAGAGTACTGGTAATTTAGTGAACTGATTCACATCCGCCACCCATTAAAGCAAGCTTCATTTTTCTTCTTTGTTTCTGAACCTAGAAAGAGTAAGAAAATGCAAGTGTGGTAGGGTTTCAAAGAAATTGTCCTACCTTGCTGGCCTCATAGCAGCGCTGATGGCAGATTTATAGCATATTTTCCAAAAATACAGTAGTTGCTTTATGGCTGCAGTATCTCTATTCAGAAACTCTTTTTGAAGTCTCACCTTACTTTTCAGCTTACTTGTTTTTTGAATAGTCAGCACCAGCCCACCTCCACTCCTATTATCTACGCAGTATGCAAATACAGCCTAAAAGAAGTAAATGAAAACAGAAATGAACCAGGTTACCACAGTGGTGGATTTGAAGTCCATGAAGCAGTCCTTCCTTGCTGGGAATGTGTGTGCTTATTTTATCCTCCCTAATTGGCTTAACTAAAGACAGTCATGCTGAGATTTAGTTTACTTATGTGTATAGCCAGTAATACTCATCCAGTAAAGCTAAGTTTCCATCAACAAGTCCCAACCTATGTTTCCATTCTAATAATGTACTTTTCTCTGTGTCGGCCCTGTCTACTTCAGTTTCCTTATTTCTCATTTATTTTTCAGGCCAGTGTGACTGAGACCTGTTGCACCTTCCACTGAAATTGTTTAGGTAAATGTCAGCAACATCCTTACTGCCATGTTCAAGAGACCCCAACTTTCATCTTTCTTTGGCATCTGACTCTACACTCTGTTCCTCAAGTTTTTATGATGCTTTTTTCCCTGATAGTTCTCCCATTCTGACTTTCCTGTTTTTGCTCGCTCTTCTCTTCCCCTTTAAACGTTAGTGTTTCTACTTTTAACCCTCTTCTCACTACAGTAGCAGTGAGGTACTTTATTAGAGGTATAGTCCCCTCTGAACACATATTAGAAGCTAGGGATCCTCTTACTAGAAAAATACATGTGTATTTATACTAAAAATATTGCATATAATTTGGGTGTATGGACCTCAGAATAAGAACTCTTTCTAGGGGCACCTGGGTGGCGCAGTCGGTTAAGCGTCCGACTTCAGCCAGGTCACGATCTCGCGGTCCGTGAGTTCGAGCCCCGCGTCAGGCTCTGGGCTGATGGCTCAGAGCCTGGAGCCTGTTTCCAATTCTGTGTCTCCCTCTCTCTCTGCCCCTCCCCCGTTCGTGCTCTGTCTCTCTCTGTCCCAAAAATAAATAAACGTTGAAAAAAAAAAAAAAAAAAAGAACTCTTTCTAACACTCGTTTTCATAGGTCATCTTACCCTCTTCCTTTTTCAGCATTTCCCATTATGCTGATGATTCCTCAAACTATCTCTAGCCTGTACCTCCAGTGCTCATTGCTTAACTCCAGGAAGCACCATTTTCATTGTAGCCATTGTGAATGGCAATCCTTGGTGTGCAGTATAATGGATGTGGCCATATCCTGCATACATGCAGCTTCACTACAGTGCCTCATAGGTACCTCACACCCAACTCGTCTCATATTGAACCCACTCTCCTTCTTCCCGACCTGCTTACCTTCCTACATTTCTTGTCTTGGTTAGTGGCACTATATTATCCATCTAATTACCCAAGTCAGAAATTGGAAAGCCATCAACATTCCAAGACCAGCCTGATCGTGTTATCACTTGTTGAAATATTATAATAATATATCTAGAATAAAGACTACATTTTTTTTGACATAACGTAATCACGATCTTCCATGTTCTGGCTGCTTCCTACCTTGCCTGTTCCATCCTTAGCCAAGCCTTGCTTTGCACCCTTTGCTTCAGTGTTACGAACTACTTACATTCCTGGCATACATGCCCATGCCTCTGTGTCTTTGCTTCTGCTCTAATGCCTAGCATAGCCTTACATCTTTTATCTGCCTTTGTCTTTCAGGTCTCAATACCAGTTTATCTTCTCAATTAACACGTACTCTGGCTCATTCCCGCTTTGTCACTCTCATGATCCCACCCCATGAAAAATAGCTACTCCTGGCCTCCCTGCTTTGTACCTCTTTTGTTTTAGGGCCTACTAGCGTATATACATCTGGCTGTCTCTACAGATTGTAAAGTCCATAAGGACCAGGACTTCGTCATCTTACGTTCCTCACCACTGTTTTCCATGCAACTGGTGTTCAGATACTTTGAATAGTCCCTACTTGTCCTTTAAATAACTTATTTACTTGTTACTAAAAATACTTTTATTTTTTGGGACAAGACTTTTGACAGGTTTTCTATGGTATATAAGAATCTCTTGTTCTGTATAGGCTTGCTTTCCTAAAATAATATTCCCAAAACGTATGTTTCTTGGGCAAAGAATGTGCACAAATTGTTTATTCTCTCTTGGCTCAGTAAAATGCACAGCACGCAGGTTGCCACCCATTGTTGAAGAACAGTCATCACACTCTATTAATCTCAACAGGTCCATTGTGGATTTGTCCAAGGAGCTTCCATTTCTCTTTAACCTTTCATACATTTGTGTCATCTCCTTGACTACATGAAAAACTCACTAATGTTGGGAACTGAGCCTCCTGCTATTCTTTTCTTGCCTGGTTATTTTATCTGTGGGTGCTCATTGTGTTGAATATTTAAACATACCACATGATTATTGTTTACAGGTTAGGATGTATATACATAGAAAACATGTTATGTTAGTTTAAATATCACCAGAAGAAAACTAAAGTTAGTTTCCATTGTTTGTAGTATTTGTACAGAATGTCATCAGATGAGGAGAAATGCTCACTGCCAGTTATGAAGAATGACTCTGACCGAGGCAGTTCTGTCTCTTCAGATCTTCAGGTAGGAAGACATGTCTAAATTTGTTGTGACTTTTATGAGGTGACAATATGTGACAAGTGACAATATGAGTGAAACAAGTGACAATATGAGGGAAAACTAGGAATACATTTTTCATGTATTCGTGCCATTTACATTTATAATTATGTATATGGTGTATGATGTGTATATATACTGTATATATTTATGTATATTAATGTATATATATTTATGTATATATGTGTATGGTGTATAATGTATATCATCATAATAATATGATTGAGCATTGAGAATTATTTCACAGACTTTGGGACATACCTTACATTGTTTGAACCTTTCAGAAAATAATCCTGAACTCTTCAAACCCTCTGTGCAAAGGCTTCAAACAGCACAATGAGAGAAGCTGGAAATCTCAAGAAACATTTTTTTCTTGAGATTTTCTCAACTATCTCTTCTGAATGCTGCTTTCACTTTAATGCAAATTAATACACTATCAAACCATCCACAGTTCTGGGACCTTAGATGCCCTGGTGTTCTACTCCAGGTTCTAGTCCCTGTTGCTACAACGTTCAACACATTCTGCTGCCCAGGACCTGGACAGTGACAGATAAATTAACTACAGAAGGTGTGGTTTTTACATGAACTGTTTTAAATTTCTTTTATTTGTAAAAAAATTTTTTTCATGTTTATTTATTTTTGAGTGACACAGAGACAGAGCACGAGCAGGGGAAGGGCAGAGAGAGAGGGAAACACAGAATCCGAACCAGGCTCCTGGCTCTGAGCCGTCTGCACAGAGCCCGACGTGGGGCTCAAACTCACAGACTGTGAGATCATGACCTGAGCTGAAGTTGGACACTTAACCAACTGAGCCACCCAGCCACCCCTGTTTTATTTCTAAATGTTTTATTATCAGAAATATGGACTCTGACTTCTAGAGTAGATTTTATTTTTTTATTTTTTTTAATGTTTATTTCTGAGACAGAGCATGAGCGGGGGAGGGCAGAGAGAGAGGGAGACACAGAATCCGAAGCAGGCTCCAGGCTCTGAGCTGTCAGCACAGAGCCCGACCCAGGGCTCGAACTCACAAACTGTGAGATCATGACCTGAGTGAAAGTCAGTCGCTCAACCGACTGAGCCACCCAGGCACCCCAAGAGTAGATTTTAAATGAGAGATCACTGATACGGTACATCTTGAGTCTTATAGTCCTCTTAAGTATCACTTAGGAGGGGGAAAAGCTGGACATTATGTTTATGCCTAAATAGAGTTAAGTTGTTACTGACACTGTGTAATAGGAGAAAAGTTTTAGGAAGATATTTTATGAAACATATATGATTCTTTAATTGAAATTACTGATTTAGAAGTTGGAAAGCTATTGGAAAAATATCTGTGAATATTTACTAAGATAAAAGTAGTCTGGAGTTGTGACATTGATATTTCATCCTTGTCTTCCGTTTGGATGTACTTTTACCTAGTGCTGTCTTTTAAGGTGACAGTGCTTTCCTGCACTCTTTATCCCTGCCTTTTTCAGACTTCCTTCAGGAGAGTACTGATTAACTCATTTATACTTGTGATATTGTGATTTATAATAAGAAATATATTTTGGTCTTTATCCCGTGTTTTGCACATTTTCAGAAAACTTTGAAATTTCCTAAATGATAGTGATAAATGCGTTTGTTATGCTAATGAGGTGACTTTTGGACCCCGCTTAAGGATTGGGGCTGGTTGCTGGGAGCGGACCACATGCTTACAGATTTGGAACTTTTAGTAGTGCCACCCACCGTGAACTCCAGGAAGCGGGGAGAGGCTGCAGGTTGAGTTCGGTCACCAGTGGCCAATGATTTCATCAATCATACCTGTGTGATGAATCCTCCATAAAAACCCAATGGGAGAGGGTTCAGAGAACTTCCAGCTCGGTGAATGTGTGGAGGCTCTGGATGACTGCCATTCTAGGAAGGTGCAGAAGCTTTGCCCCCCTTCCCCATACCTTGTGCTTTGTCTCTTCCATCTGTCTGTTTCTGAGTTCTGTCCTTCTATAATAAACTGATAATCTAATGAGTAAAATGTTTCTCTGAGTTCAGGAAATGTAAGTTTAAATCTCAGACATGTGTTGTTGTTTTGTTTTTGTTTTTAATGTTTATTATTTACTTTTTGAGAGAGAGAGAGAGAGAGAGACAGAGCATAAGTGGGGGAGGGGCAGGGAGACAGGGAGACACAGAATCCAAAGCAGGCTCCAGGCTCTGAGCTGTCAGCACAGAGCCTGATTCAGTTCTCAAATTTCACGAACCGCAGGATCATGACTTGAGCTGAAGTCGGATGCTGAACTGACTGAGCCACCCAGGCACCCCCAAAACTAGACGTGTTTATTGTCATGAAGGGGACATCTCCAACAAAGGAGTTGACTATAGCAACATGAAGATCATTCTGATGATTGAGATTTCTTTCCATGATTCTCTCTTTGGAGTGTCTCTGTTTCTCTTCTGCCATTAGCCTTAACATGTTAAAATCTGTATTTGCTATAACTTTTACTGCATATAGGTAATCCATGTTAACTATGCAAAACAACGCTGAAACTGACACCAACTCACTTCTTTACATTTAATTACCCTAAAGACTTGTAATTTTCAAACATCTACCAGCATAAACCCTTTTTTTCAAACAATTTTACTTCAAATTCCAATATAAAAAGGTTAAAGTAGAAGTATAATTGCATAGATTTATATTATAAATTCAAATCTGTGACATTTCCATCTCACAAAGTCAGCAAAAACAATGAAGCTGCCTTAAATGTACATTTGACATTGGTGGATAATAGGAGACCTAGCATAGTTTGATAAGCCTAAGTGACCATTTTGCTTCTATATTTTATTTGGGCTATAAAATATCAAGAAAATTCTGATTCTTAACATAAGTAGTTGAGAATGATGGCTTGTTTGTTTTAATATAGTTGACACACACTGTTACATTAGTTTCACGTGTACAGCATAGTGATTCGACTTCTCTATGCATTATGAAAAAATGGTAGCTGTTTAAAAACCTATCTCATCTGCAAGTAAACTGACCCAAAACATAAAAAAAGGATTGATAGAAAAGTTTTTATTCATTGTTGAATCACCAACAAAGTCTGTCACTTCTTCAAACTTTTTATAATCTGCAAATCACCCAAGAAGCACCCAGAAGACTCAAATTTGGAATACGTGCTAAAACCCTTTGTATTATGATAAGCATGTAACAAAGGAATGAAGTCATTTGCTACCCTGCACAGCTCATCACTCTCCTGAGGAGGGACTGGCGCCAGCAGATGTGCTTGAGTTTGAGTTTGTAATTGATGGGCCCACATGTGTTAGAGTTGTGTGTTCACCTGCACAGGTGTGATTCCTAAAACAAAAATCAAACCTGTGCAGAGCCACAACCTGACATGTTTACAGCAGCTTGACATGTACATCGATGGCAGGAACAGCTTTATTCCAACCAACAACAAAAAAAAAAAAAATTGAGAATTTATAGTTTGGGGCCAGTTAAAATTTAGCACATGTGGTATATGTGATAGTGCTTGCTCCTTTTACTACTGTTTGTAAAAGAGTTAAATAGCTTAAAAAATGAAATTTGAATAAAACAGCGTGGATCCCCTGAAACACCTTCTTGGAAACTAGCTAGAAATGCAGTGATACTGACTACCGACTCAGGATACAAGGTAGTTCTGACTACAAAAGTCTGAGGGTAATTACGTCTGTTCCCTTGGAAAGCACCAAGATACTTATTTCGGTCATCTGTGATGTAACGATGGCTGGAAACTTGGGTGTGGTGGTCAGTTAAATATTCTTAACCAAAGAAAACCATAGGGAAAGAGTAAGGATTGCTGATTTTCACATACCTACTGAAGATCGTTCTTTGATTTAGACAGAATTTTTCTGAATTCACTTGAGCACATACTGTGCCACTTCACAGAGGCAGTTTCAAGCATCAGTTATCTTCATACTGAAGATGAATCCAAATAACAAGGCAGTTATGACTAATGAAATGATGACAGTTCTATATTGGAACTAAACTACTTATGGGGAAAAATTAACACAAAAGAATCCTTTAGAATAATAACATTTAATGGTCTTGAAAACCTTCCCCCCAGTTTTTTTTAATGCAAAGACATTCTCTGGGTCTGTGAATACGACTCTTAGAAATTACTCTTTTTTTTTTAATGTTTTTATTTATTTTTGAGAGCAGGGGAGGGGCAAAGAGAGAGGGAAACAGTAGATCCACAGCAGGCTCTGTGCTGACAGCAGAGAGCCCAAGGTGGGACACAAACTCACAAACCATGAGATCATAGACTGAGCTGAAGTCAGATGGTTAACTGAGGTATCAGGTGTCCCATGAAATGACTTCTTGTAGGACTATTTGGTACATCATGACCAATCGCTTGTGAATGTCAACTAAATTCCAGTATATTTTTTTAATTCGCAGATACCATTTTTTGATATGGCTAAAGAAATAACTGTCTATGTGAGAAAATTCCAATTTTGTTTTAAACTTGAGGAATATTACTGTAAGGTCTACACTTTGTGACCTGTATTTTTTATCGCTTCTCAGGTGCCTTGCAGTTGCCACTAGGTAGAATAGAACAAACAGGCTACATTTGTGTTCTCTTTTTATCGTCAGTATTTCTTTTTCTCTTCCAATATTTCCCTTACGCTCTTTCCATGCTATGAAAAGACCCTCCAGGTTGTTGCTGCGTTGGATGGTAGCTGTCAGTAAAAAGAGCCAAAACCACTTTTCATCTCTAGACCACGCTATTGTGGAGTCTTTGGAAGCCACACCTTCAAACTAAATTTCAGAAAAGCAGAGAAATGTCTATGTCTCTGCCCACCTGCAGGGTGGGCGTTTCTGCTTTGTAGATTGTTAACTGGTCTCAGGCAACTACACTAGGTAATCTTTGTGTCACGATTGCTAAATTGGCATCTGAAGGAATCTATCTGGCTAGAAGAAATTTGGGTAGGTCTATTTGTTGGGTTTCTGTTTTTAAGAAAGTACACCTTCCTTACTACATCGAGGTACTGTTTTGAGAACTGAAGTAAAGAGTAGCTTCGACTATGCCTTTATCGTTCTTTGCCTGAATGTCCATTGTGACCGTTTATGATACATTATTTGTTTTTGGCTTCTCATAGGAAGAGTATGAAGAACTGCTTCGTTATGCTATTGTGACTCCAAACATTGAGTCGAGAGCTTCACAGCCGTGTCATTCTAAAGGAGAAGTGGTGCCAGATGTTAGGATTCCTACTGTAGTAGATGATATTCTTCATAATCAAGGTTATGTATATTTTGAAAGATATTTCTTAATTTGTTATTGAGCTTATTAATGCCGTTGACTTAGAGTTCCAGAAATGCTTCTCCAGTGATTCTTCTTAATCACTCATGTGTATCACTATCATCTGGGAAGTGTTTTCCATTTTAATATGTTACTCTTGGCTCTTGTGCGACAGCTGGATATTTATATGAACTTTGTTTAAACTATTACATGAAAAATAAAAGCAAAAAAAATAAATAAAATGAAAGCAACACTATAGCCATAGCATGCCTGTCAGTGGAGTAAATTGCATCTAATTGTTCTAGTAATTATATACCAGGATTATCTTGGAAACTAAATGCCCAAGGCCCCAAATTAAAGATGCTCCATTGGTAGCCCTCAGAACCACTTAAGTTTGTGAACCATGTCCTAGGACTTTGTCGGCAGCATTTCTGTTAACGTGGAAGACTGTTTAAATTATCACCACAAGGGTGAACCCATTTTGGACTACGTCATTGACAGAATTGAGAGTTAATACAAGCCAGGATGTGTGTTGATAGGTGAATGAAAGGTGGAGAAAGGAAGATAAAGCTCCTTTCACCTATCCATTCTTTATTTGGTAAAGTACAGGATCCCAAACAACTCGCTGTAAAAAAGTATTCCTTCAAAGGGCACAGAAAACCCTCCAAAGATAGGCCTGGTGATGGGTAGTTATCAACAGTAGGCGTAACTCCAGGGATGTCTCCTTGAAGGCACATGAAACAGCCTACTCAGAATCAACAGGCTCCTGGGGTTCCGATAAGTTACAGCCCTAGTATTTTGTTCCTGTCTCTTGGTAGACATGGATTATCCATTGCTAGACTTCAGCATACTGCACTCGATCATCAAGTAGGGCCAGAACCATAAAATGCATATATTTACTTTACCACCACAATATTTTACCCCGAAACATTTTCTGCCCAAATTTTAATTGATATTCAAGAGGCAGGGCCCCGGGGTTCATTCATTGTATATCAGTGATCTTGACCATGTTTTGATTAACCTGGGTACCTGAGCCTGTAGTTCCTGTTGAACACACCCAAAGGGCTGCATACTCTCTTACAAAATATGTAACTAGTCAATCCGTGTGTTCACCTGTATGTCCCTCCCTTAAGGGGGTCACCAGACACTTGCTTCCTTGCTGTACTGTTGTTCCCAGTGACACAACATTGGAGTCCTCTCCTTGCCGTGGCTCTCCAACCTTTCAAGGTCATCACTTGGGATTTAAGACCCCTGTTCTTCTCTAGCATGGAAGATAGTATTTATTTGTTTATACTCTGCCTTTTCGAAAAAGGATTTGAGATCTAAGTAGACAACATGCAGTGAATTTAGATATCTTGATTCACACGAAGATTGATAAGTATATGTAAGTTCATCATCCCATTCTTTCCTCTTGGTATTGCTGTTGCTTGATGTAAGTGAGGTATGTTGAAGTTGCCAAAGTATATATAAGCCTTCCACACAGCCATTCTTGTGAGGTTTTCCCCCATTTTATTTCCACCGTGTATTGACCAGTGGTTCCTGAGCTGCAAGTGAGGGAACCAGTGTCACTTTAGCTTGACGGCAGTAGGCCCCTGGAATTATCCAGTGTAAGATTGCATAGCTTCCAAGTTCTAATGTCATTCATCCACTCAGTCTCTTAGTGTGAACTGAATGCTACAGTAGGCTGAATTCTCTTCCATCTATATTTGGTGGGTAAAATTGAGCTTTTGTCCTTCTCTTTGTTCTTTGGCTTAGTGTTCCTCTATCCCCGGCATGTTGTATTTTGCTGTTCTAAAATCCTATGTACTGCTACCCTCTTAAATTAAGTATGTGTGATTAGGCATTTGATATAAGAGTGGTTTGGTTTAATAGAAAAATTATTTTATTTTATTTTCAGCAGGAAATAGCCCTGTAGTAAAAGAAACAAGGATGGAAGTTGGAAAAGGATGTGATTTGAATATTTCAAGTCATTCAAAGACAGATGGTATGACTTTTCCTCAGTTTGTTTTTATTAACATACAACATTTTGTGGTTTGATGAATTTTATTTGTGTAGTAAGAGGAATCATTTCAGCATATTACTCATTGGCATGATTTTAAAATGCTGCTGTTGCTGATTTATTAACTAATACTATTTAAAATAATTTCTCAAAATTCTAAAATAGTACAATTAAGACAAGTTAATGTATTACAGTGTGTGGCATCCTTTCTTAAAACTGCTAGATTAGAGGGCAGTACTTTAAAAGATTTCATGGGAGTCAGCTAATTTGGCCAATTTCAATGTTTTCATGAACCAGTGCATTCTTTCCCAACATTCAGGCATTTATGTACCAACTTAGTGATTTTTGTCCTATCTTTATACCCCTTGTTCTGTCATTTTTTCTTTAGATATATTCATTTTTAGCTTAAATTCATTAGAAGAAAAATTTGTGTCATTACTGATTATAGAATAAAACTAATATACCCTTTATAAATAGAAAGCAATGGTAAAAATAAATGCAACTAACAATTAGTAAGTTTTGATTGAATACTGCTGGTGATGTGTTCAGCCTGAAATCTGCTTTTCCTTGGTTGAAAGGAGAGATGAGCAAATGTTACAGAGGTTATAAAAGCACACTAGCACCAGATTGAAGTGATTAAATAATTAAAATAGAACAGTCTTCTTGCTCTGTGATATAATGTTATTTAATGTACGGGCCATGTAAGCCACCCTACAAGAAATGCCTCTAACCTTTGGTTTGCTCACTTGTACATAAAAGGCTTGGGCGGTATAACACTTGGGGACCTTTCAAGTTCTTCAGTGATGTGATTCTCTTTTTCAAAAGGTGGATATATGTTTAAAAATTAAAAATCAGAGGAGTGCCTGGGTGGCTTAGTCGGTTAAGCGTCCAACTTTGGCTCAGGTCATGATCTCACGGTTCATGAGTTCGAGCCCCATGTCAGGCTCTGTGCTGACAGCTCAGAGCCTTGAGCCTGCTTTGGATTCTATGTCTCCCTCTCTCTCTCTCTGCCCCTCCCCTGCTCACATTCTGTCTGTCTCAAAAATAAATAAACATTAAAACAATTTTTTTTAAATAAGTAAAAATAAAAAATCAGAGCCTATTGCTTTTCCCATGGGTGCAGATATTGTTGGTGAAATCTAGTGAAAGAGAACATTCATGTGCTTTGTCACTCTGCTTTATTCTCTAGGTTTATTCTTCAGAGTATGGAGGTGGTGTTTCATAGTTGACTAGCCTGAACCATTTACTGAATAAATTTTTTATGTAAAACATATATATTAGAGCGTGATTTTCCCTTTTGCAAAGAGTTCTTGATTTACTTTCAAGTAACAAGTTCTACAGTAGATTTATCTGTTTGACTCATCTCATTGACCAAGGAAAAGAAGAAGGCCTTTCAGTCTTGGTTATTAGGACCCTTGTAACAAAAGTGAGATAGGTGAGAAATGATAAACCGTCTCTAATTCCAGCATACATGTGTGATAAAATAGTAATCTTTTCTGTTTTGTGCTTTTGAAAGGTAGATGCCTGTTCTGGCACTGGCTTTCACCCCTACATCTATCCTCCACCCCAGCCCACTACCCTCTACCATGTATATGGGCAGAGGATGGAAATTATATACATATATGTGTATACATATATAGACGTGTATATTTTCACCTGTATGTTGAAGGCTAACAGTGTGCCTTACAACTGAGTATCTGTTAAAACTAAACTACTCTTTGTACTTACAGTGTTGAATTTTACTGGTGTTAAAACCGTCACCAGTGTGTTACATAAAGTAATAATGACCTATAGACAACCTATAGACCTATAGACAACCACTGGGACCTTGGTCCATTACTTAACCCTTTCTCTCTCTCTCTCTCTCTCCCTCTCTCCCTCTCTCCCTCTCTCCCTCTCTCCCTCTCTCTCTCTCTCTCCCTCTCCCTCTCTCTCTCCCTCTCCCTCTCTCTCTCCCTCTCCCTCTCCCTCTCCCTCTCTCTCCCTCTCTGTCTCTCTGTCTCTCTGTCTCTCTCTCTTTTTTTCTGAGAGAGAAAAAGAAGGGGATGGGTTGGAGAGGGGCAAAGGGAAAGAGAGAGAATCCCAAAAGGCTCCATGCTCAGTGCAGAGCCTAACATGGGACTTGATCCCACACCTCAGGATCATGACTTGAGCCAAAATCAAAAGTCACGTGCTCAACTTGTAAAGTTGACAAGAGTCATGTGCTCTCTTTCTCTCAAAATAAATAAATAAACACTAAAAAAAAAAAAAAGAGTAAGTAAATTGAAAGGTTATTTCTCTGCATTTTCCTCTACTTCTGAAGGTCACTGACGTCTCACCTTCCACTGGAATTTCTTACCATTTGGGTTATTCTCAATCTGGCCTGACCACAACAACTTTCCTCTATTCCAGGGTCATCACCAGTGTTGTCACCGAGGAAGCCTTCTCACCCGGTCATGGACTTTTTCAGTTCCAACCTCTTAGGTGATTCTTCCTCACCAGCATCTGTTTCTAGTCATGCAGATGCCCATGAAATCGTTGTAAGCGATTTTCTTATTTCTGATGAAAACCTTCAGAAGATGGAAAATGTACTTGATCTTTGGAGTTCAGGACTTAAGGTATTACAGTTGTTCAGTTACAGTTGTTTCATATGTAGTATAACAGTTTTGCTCTTGATTCCACTATTTCCTGTTCTTTTCTTTGAATCAAAAGATTTTGTGAAAAAAATCTTTAGTTTCCTTAGAAGATTAGTCCAGTGTTTTAAGTCTGTACTTCTCAGTCTTTAATATCTGTATGCATCATCTGGGAATCCTGTTAAACCAGCTTGTCAGTTGGTCTTGACCAGGGCCCAAGATTATGCATTTCTAACAAGCTCCCAGGTGATGCTACTAGATCAGAAACCATGTTTTGAATTAGCAAGGTTTTCAGTAGTTGTTGAACAGCTCTGTATGTTCCACTGAACTTCTCGGGTGTTTTGAAAGACTAAGCCTACGTGTGACAAAGATACCTATTGAATCCTTACCATCTCATAGCTGTGACGAATGAAGATGTCTCCTTTTGTATGTAACACAGCATCCAGTTTTAGCAACGTGTATTCATTTTGTAGCTGCTTACAGCAACCACCTTGTGTAACTGGTAAGTCTATAAAAGCTGACTATTTTAGTGGTGGTATTGGCCTCTAAATAAAATAAGGTATTACGGAAGTGGCAAATTTTTTTCTATTTAAAATATAATGGAAGGGTGCCAGGGTGGGTCAATGTTAACCCTCTGACTCTTGGTTTTGGCTCAGGTCATGATCTTGTGTTTTGTGAGTTCAAGCCCTGCATTGGGCTCTGTGCTGATAGTGTGGAGCCTGCCTTGGATTCATTCTCTCTCTCTCTCTCTCTCTCTCTCTCTCTCTCTCTCTCTCTCTCCCCTTCTCTCTCTCTCCCCCCCTCTCTCTCTGCCCCTCCCCTGCTCGTGCACTCTCTCTCTCTCAAAAGAAATAAACTTTAAAAAATATATATACATATATATAATGGAGAAAATGACAGTTTTTCTGAAACATCGTTTGAGAAAACTGAATATTCACATATATGGTGAAATTACAGTTCTGAGGGTTTTATGGCATTTTTATTTCTCTATTATTGGGAACCATAAATTCTAGAAATAATCTTTTAGTATAGTTTTTACCATTTTCCCCCTTGGAACAGGTTTCATATCTGTGTCATGGTGTAAGTGCTACCGCTAATCACGTAATCTGTTCTCTGTTCAGTTAAGCATATTATTAGGCAGTTGTTTTGATAACATGATTATTTGGTATTTTTACTTATGCCATTCAGTAGGGGGAAAGGGATCAGACTTAGCAATTTGTGGTAAGATGGCCTCTGTGATAAACAATTTGGGGAAAGAAAGCGTCAACCCCCCTGGTTTCCGTTATCCACCTCTATCTAAATAACTTCCCAGGCCGTGGCTGAGCCAAGGCCATACTCTGACTTTTGCCCTCCTTGATCTATCTTAATATGGACATTAAAGTCCTTGAATAAACCACGGAAGGACCAGAAATTTTTTCAAAGGACAACAAAGTTTCATACAAAGTGACTTAAAGTAGGAAAAAAAAATCCATTTCCTTAGTATGGTGAATGTGACCTGAGAAGAGCCACAACTGTTGAACTTGCAAACGTTTTCATTAGTGTTTTTTATAAATAGCTCTTATGTTGATTGCTTGTACCGATGAGTTTTAATGTTTCTTAATTTCAGTGTAATTTTAAGAAGCAGTACTAACCACACTGCTTAATTGCTGGCATATTTATTTTTCAGACAAACATTATATCTGAACTAAGTAAATGGAGACTTAATTTTATTGACTGGCACCGAATGGAAATGAAAAAAGAGAAAGAAAAACACGAAGCACATTTAAAACAACTGGGCAACCAGATCAACAGTTTGAAGGAGCTGCAAAAAGCCTATGAAATCTCTATTGGGAGAAAAGATGAGGTCTTCACTTTTGTATTTCTTTTTAAGTGAGATGCGGTAAAAATCTTGCTAGGCAATAAATGCCAGGAACTCATTATTTAGGTCATACAAGATACAAAGGGAAGATTGCTTCAGAAACTGAAAAAATAGATACATAGGAATAAGATATATTCTTCCTCTTAAACATGCCAGCGTCTTGTCATTTAATCTTTGTCATCAGCTTCAGTGTGCTCGAAGTTTTAGAAGTATGTGCTGAATGTGGAAACACTAATTTCTGTTCCCCGGTCTTTTTTTCCTAACTGCTCTTAAGAGAACATTGGGGAACCAGCATTACCCACATTTTAAACCATCTTTTTAGGGGTCATTTTAAGTATCTCACATTTTATCGATGCTGTATCTTTCTTCATTGATGATGTCTTTTTCGTTTTATTGATAGACATAGAGAACACTTTTTTTAAAGCTTTTTTTTTTTGATCTGTGATTTTGTTTTTAATTATCTTAAGCCTTATCACATAATTTACAAATTGGTGCTGATGATATTTCTCCTCTACTTTAACCCTTCTAACAAGTTGGCAAAAGCACCAATCATACGTATATGGTAATTCCACAGTTGTATTTTTGAATAGCTGTTTAGAAGACATTCCTGAATTATAACTTAGTAAAGAATTCACAAGCCAAATCTGCTACTATGCCTTATCACACTCAATTTTAAAAGCATCTGACCTTACAGCTCATCTATAAAATGTGAGAACTGTTAATAATTTTTAATACTATACATAAACCACACTAACATGCCTTTCATTAAGCAAAAGGCAACATTTTAAATGGAGGGAATTTTAATTAAATTGGCATAGTTAAGACTAAAAAGATAAAGTGGACATTGCCAGCTTATCTTCAGCCCTTGCCTTTAACAGGCTAATAAACACAACTTGAATCACAGCTGAGTCTTGCTGTTCTGATACAGTGAAGGGATTTCCTCAGTATTTAAATATATTGACATAATCAGCCACATAAATCTAAATAAGTTTAAGTTTAGACATGGCATTTACCATCTCTGTGAAAAGCCGAACATGTAATCAATTCCAATCATATTTTTGAAAGGGGAAAACAATGACAGCACTTGCTGAACCAGAATTCTATCAAAGTTCAAAAAGCGAATCGTACTCCTTTAACCACAAGCTAATCTTATTTAATTTTTTTTTTTTACTGTTTATTTTTGAGAGACAGACATAATGCGAGTGGTTAGGGGCAGAGGGAGAGGGAGACACAGAATCCAAAGTGGGCTCCGGGCTCCGAGCTGTCAGCGCAGAGCCTGACGCGGGGCTCGAACTCACAAGCTGTGACATCATGACCTGAGCCGAAGTCGGACGCTCAGCTGACTGAGCCACCCAGGCGCCCCACAAGCTAATCTTATTTAAATCAGGACTGTTCAAAAGAAATATTCTATCAGCCATTCATGATCTGAATTCTGGTGTATAAGATTTATTTAAATACGGGACACATAAAAAAAGTCATGAGACATTTTTGTTTTGTAATAAATAAGGCAACAGCCAACTATTGTTCCTTAGTAGCTTTTTAGAGATAAGCTATCAAGTCTGCTCTTTCCCCTGCCTTCTTAATGCCAGCGAAGGTCATTTTTGTTCCAGGGATGTACTTCCTGGGATTCTCCAAATAGTCCATCAGTGTCTCCTCTCCCCAGGTGATGCCTTTGTTCTTGTTGGCATCCCTATAAGAAAATCCAGGGGCTTGACCTTTCCCCTAAATAAGCCGTGGCGATTCGGCCCAGTTTTGTGCTTGCCTCCCTTTTCCATGGTATGGCACTGGGTGCACTTCTGAACAAAATCTTCTTGCTCTTCTCAATATCACCCATTTTTAAATCGCTCTTAGGTCGCACGTGAAATGAAGGTACCCACTCACAAGCCGGATGTCCAACCCTCTCTAAAGCTTATTTATTTATTTTGAGAGAGGCGGGGCGGGCAAAGAGAGAATCCCAAGCAGTCTCCTTGCCGTCAGTGCGGAGCCCTGCTCTGGGCTTGAACTCATGAACTGTGAGATCATGACCTGAGCAGAAATTTAAGAGTCGGACACTTAACTGACTGAGCCACCCAAGTGCCCTGAGAATACTTTTTATTTCACTTTACATTAGCCTCTTAAGAACGAGAGAGTAAGGTTCACATCTCTGCTAATTAATTCCACACAGCAGACTGTGCAGTAAATCCATGGCTCCCCCCAGGAGGATGTTAGTTTTCAGAGGCGACAGCTCAGCTCCTGGTCTGCAGATGCAGCACTGTTTTAATGAACTAGATAGAGACTATATATTTTTTTAAATATACATTTCTTTTGATGTTTGGGGTATGATATAAAATCAAACATTTTATATAGTTTACTTTTTTGAAACCCTAGATACTAATGTCACTCATTTTCTCTCTTGCCCTCAAAACTCTATCCTGAGGTTTTAAAATATTTGAAACTTATTTTTTTTTAATTTCAAAGTATCACACATAAAAGAGTATACATGTGTCCAGTCTTTGAAAATGAATAAGATGAACGGCCTGTGCCTTTTAACAGAAATGTGTGCCCTTTTCCACTTTTGAAAATTATTTAAAGAAGAACCAGAATAAATGTCTCTCAATAAATATGCCTAATTTACTAAATCTCACTTTAATGTGGCCAATTTAAAATATATATTTCAATCACTCATTTATTTCTTTATAAGAAAATACCGCCTTAGGTTTTAAAAGCATTCGTAGATTTATTTAAAAAAGAACGAGAATAGCATCACTGAAGAAGTACATTATGGTATAACTCTTGTTGGCTTTTATGAGTTTGTTGAATCCAGAAAATCCTTAAACAGTTAGTGAGCAACTTCTAACCCAAGGTATTAAAGGTACTTAAGGGACCAGAAAGATGTTTAAAACCTGGTCCCTACCCTCAAGTGTCGTGCACAAGGCCTTTCTGTGTATGTGGCAATATTTTCAAATGTGTAGTCATCTTTCTTGAATTAAATGTCAATGACTATTAATTTTATATACATAAACTTTTTTGTGATTATCCAGATACAAATAATAAAGACTTTTCTTTCTTTCCTCTTTTGCTCTCCTTCGTTCATTGATATGTAGTGCATTCAGGTGGACAAGCTTTTTGGTGTTTTTAAAGATAATAATGAGGTTAATTAGATGAATGTAGTAGTGCTCCACAGGTATTCTTTTGAGCCCTTTTTGATATATGTGAAAGTCACTTTACCAATTATTGTTATTGTAACATTACAATAATTGTGTTAATTGCTATTTACAGGTGATTTCTAGCTTGTCTCATGCCATAGGCAAGCAAAAGGAAAGGATAGAGCTGATGAGAACATTCTTCCACTGGCGAATTGGCCATGTTAAATCCAGACAGGATGTAAGTATAAAAACAAAACAATAACTGACAGGTACTAGACTTCTGAACTCAAAAGGTTTAGGATCACATTTTGGAGCTCCTGTTAAAGTCAAAGAAAGATTTGTTTTCTAATAAATCAAAATGAGTTTACAATTTAATGTTGCCTAGATTTTAAAGGAATTTGATTTTGGTGTATTTTGGAAAAAAATACCTCATATTTTATAGACCTATTGATCTATCATCTCCTACTTCATAGTAAGTAAGGATCATAACTGACTTACAAATGCCCTTGTCACAGAACCCTTTTCACAAATTTAAACTCAGATGTGATTGTGTGGAGAAAGAATTGATAATGTCTAACATATCATACGCTTCTTATATTGTTTCTGCTTCACACATGCCTGAAGGTATCCATGTAGTCTCTTCATAAAGAGGCAGTACTGTATTGATACATTATAAAATTGTGTGATCGTTTGTTTTGTAGACTTGACTTAGAGTGAGAATCAAAGAAAGCCATGTCTGTGTAGCTTTTTAAAAATTATCTTTAGTTTGTTTACAATTTAACTGTGATTGTCTTTATTTTAATTAAGTAAGAGTTGAATCAGTATAGCAGAGTAAATATAAACTGAGAGACAGTAATAAATTATTGTATCAGAAGTGGAAAAGATGAGAGGATATGTATATCCCACAAGAAGACAGTATAGAGACTCAAGAGTATAGGGGATAGATGTGTTGTGTGTGTGTGTGTATTTGATGTTTATGTGAGCCATGGAATGATCTCTCTGCATTTAGTTCTGAATACTTAAAGAAAAGGCTATTACAATGGTGGAACAGGATTTCTCCTTGAAGAATAATTCCTAGTGCTTTCATTTTTTTTATGAATCCCAATAGATGGAATCTACATTAATCATAGAGAAAAGAGCTATTTAATGAGTATGCCGTATTTTGAAAGTTATTTACCAACTGACATAATCAGAATATATTATGTTTAAATGTTAGTGGACATAGTGGAGGCTGCCGTCAGTTTTTTTTTTTTTAATATATGAAATTTATTGTCAAACTGGTTTCCATACAACACCCAGTGCTCATCCCAAAAGATGCCCTCTTCAATACCCATCAGCTACCCTCCCCTCCCTCCCACCCCCATCAACCCTCAGTTGTTTTTTTTTTTAATGTTTATTTATTTTTGAGAC